GAACAGATAGGACGCGTAGCTATGCGTGTTTTAATTTTTAAAAAAATATTAAAGCAAAACAAATGTTTTTTTTTAAATAAAAGACTCAATCAGTTGTGTTTAATAAACTTAATTAATTCAAATAATAAAAACAAAAACAATCAATAACAATAAAAATAAATAAACAAAAACTTAACTTTGATTCATTCAATTTAGCAAGTTAAACATATAATTTTAACATGATACTGAAATAATTTAATCAAAAACAAACTCAATAAAAATATAAATTTTTATTATTAAATAATTTAATATTAAAAAATAAAATTAAAACAAAAAATTAAGTAAAGTAAAGTTAACTAATTAACTTTATGACCTTATGACCATAACCACAGGATTGTAACAACTCCAAAGAAAAGAGATTAAAAATAAAAGAGAATGAGGATCAATTTTTATTAAATAAAATATTGAAAGATAAAATTTTAAAAATAAAAAGCAAACACAAAACAAAAACTAAAATTAACTCGGGTTAATCATAAAAATTTATGATCTTGATCATGAGCTTATGACTAACCCCATAAAATACAAGCCCTAAAAATTAACACAAAAAAATTTCAAATCATCAAAATACTAGAGGGTGAAATTAAAAGAATAAAAAAGAATTTAAAACAAAAGGATAAAAATTAAAATAATAAGGACTAAATTTGATATGAAAATAATTTGAAATCAAATATCGAGGAATGGAGGGGTATTTAAACCAGAGGTTTCAAAAAAATTAAATTTTTAATGTTTTTTTATCATTTTGATATGTTAATGTCAAAAATAAATTTTTAAAAAATATTTGATATATTTCAAAGCAAAAACATTTTGAAAAGTAACCGTTATCACTATCTTAAACATCCCCATAATAAAAAAAAAACTTAATAAAGAAAAAGATTAAAAATAAACAAATAATAATTAAAAAAACTAGATTTGATATAAGAATTAAATAAAACTAAATGATCAGGGGTGAAATTAAATAAAAAGAACAATAAAAAATTATAAAAAACAATGAAAATAATGAAACCAAATTGAAAAGATATATATAAAAAAAATGATGCATTTATACTTTGAAAATGGAAAGAGAAAGTAGAAAAGAAAGAGAAAGAGAAAAAATCATTGTATTCCAAGCACTTCTTTGCAGTGCACTCGCGTGGCCCTAATAGAAAGAGGATAATAAGATACTTTTAATGCCGCCCCGTCACATGGCGTACGGTGGCTAGATATTATCATATGTGGCAATAACCTTCTTTAATAATATTTATAGTATTTGAAAGATTAATTTGTTTTTTTATCAACTTTTATTAAATAAATACCAATATAAAAAAATTAAAAAACCCCTTGATGTAAGTTTACTATTTTTATGCTCGTAACAATAATATAGTTTTTATATTATGCCTTTGAAATTTAAAAAGAGTGAATGTCCCCTTAAGATCCTTTTAAGATATTTTGTTTTTAAGGGTAATATAGTTATTGCATTATAAATTTAAAAAATAAAAAGATCAAATTATCATCTATCAATACTATAATTTAGGGAGACCATTCTATTCCAATACCAAAGTTATTAATTTTTTTAAAAGACAAGATACTAATTACATTGCGTGGTGAATAGTAACAAGTGTTCAAGTGCATAATGAATTCTCCATATGTTTTAAGTTTATATTTTCAATTTTAATTTGTTATATATAGCTAGTGAAGTAACAATCAATAGATCAATTGAGGAAATGAAGTTTATAGAATTTATTTAAAGAACCCATCGAATTTCAATTGATAATGTCACGACATAATTCATTATAATAATGATAATTATTTAGATTTTTTATCGAGGTTAAAAAAGCTTAGATGTATTGGTTGCAATGTTTTTCTAGCCAATTAATGATTAATTAATTAAGGACCTAGTTAAGGGTTTTAAGCTTTGTGGAAAAAGATTTTTTTTTAGATAATAATGTAATGTTTAATTTTAATTTTGAGCTAGAAGAGACAACCACGTATTGGGGTAAGACAATAAATAACACTAAAACATAACTACATCTAATAGTGATAGTGATAATGATGTACAAGATAAAATATTAAAAAAATATTTTACTCTTAATATATATTATTGTTAAACTTATATATTTTAAAAAATATTTAGATATTATTATTTTTTACTTTAATTTATATTGAGTATTTAATTTAATAATTTTACAATAATCCTAAATATAAAACTAGAACTTACTTGCAAGATTAATTCAATAAAACACAAACCCTAAAAATAACAAAGCAAAATTTTCAAATAATAAAAAGATACAAAACAAAAGAAATGATAATTAAAAGGATGAATACTAAATTCTATACAAAAATAATTTGAATTTGAAAATTGAATAATGAAATTAAAAACAAAATTCAATTAAAAAATAATTAAAAATAAAAAAATAAAAACAATGATCAAAATTAATATAAAAATTATATAAAATTAAATAACAAGGGGCAAGATAAAAAATTCAATCAAAATAATATAAAAGCAAAATAAATGGCAATAAAAAAATAAAAATCAAGTTTAAAAAAATAACAATTTTATACTTTGATAAATGAAAGAAAAAGAAAAGTAAAGAGACAAAAAAAAGTTCATCAAAGCTCAACCACCACCCTATCAAGCACATGCACGACACTAGTGAGAAGAGGATGGTGAAGCGCTTCTAACACTGTTTTATAAGGTGGTGTTTAGCGGAGTGATGTTATCATACGTGCCATCAATATTTTTTTTAATAATATTTATATTATTTAAAAGACTAAATTGTCCCTCGTAAAATTTTATATAAAAAAAAATATGAAAAGATTAAAAATCTTTTATGCAAGGTTAACATTTTTTACATGTAAGGATAATGTAATGTTTATATCATGGCTTCAAAATATTAAAAAAAAAAATCGTCAAAGGAGTTTTTTAGAATATTTTTCTTTTGAAGGCAATATAATCATTCCAGCGTATATTTTAAATATAATAGATCAAAGATCTTCAATTAATCCTACAAAGACTTTAGAAAAAGCCCACCCTATCCTAGTACTAAAGTCATTTATTATTTTTTGGAATGGAAAAATAGAAATATGTGTTTAACTGCACAATGAGTTCTCCATGTGTTTTAAGATTTTTTTTTAATTATAAATTATTATATACAACCAGTGAAGTAACCATCAATGGATCAATTCAGGTAATGAAGTTTATAGAATATATTTAAAGAACCCATACAATTTCAATTGGTAATTTAAACTGTTTATTAGGGTTAGAATAATTTAGATGTATGAGGTGCAATGATTTTATTTTTTTTCATAATTGAGATGGCGGTGAGGACCTATTAAGGGGTTTTACACTTCAAATGAAAAGAATTGTTTGGACAATAAGGTAGCATTTGCTTATTACTTGAGATAAAAAAAACAAAATAAATAAAGATAAATGACATAAGATATAAAAAAAATAGAGAAAGAACTATATTTAATAGTGATATACAAAATAAAATGTTTGTCTTTGTATTCCGTTCGGTTACGATGGATAAGACATGATAAATATAAAAAAAAAGTTTAATTTTCCCTTAATAATGGATGAGACATAATAAATATAAAAAAATTTAATTTTCCCTTAATATTTATTATTGTCAAATATATATATTTTTAATAAGTGTATATATATATATTGAGCGACCTAAAACTTGTCTTGAATTAACTCTCAAATCAAATTTTAAAACTATAATAACAATCATTTCTATTTATAAATTGACTTGGATTGACCCTTTCGCTAGTTAACCTTTGAGTTGAGTCTTATAGTTATAAGAATGATATTTTTTTATTGTTACATTGATCCGAGTTGACCATCTCAATCATGATGACCTATGCTTTATTTTAAGGTGACCTTTTAATTCAGTTTTAAAATTATAATAATAATTATTTTTTTTATATATTGACTCAGTTCATTTTAAGTTGACAGTTGTGACATGTGATCTGAGCTTCACCAATTAAGAGTTGGTCATGATGTTTAGTTTTAAAATTATGATAATAATTATTTTTGTTTTTATATTGATTCGGGTTAAAAGTCCATCCCACTCGTAGCCCAGGCTTTGTCTTAGGTCAACTTTCAAATTAAGTTGTAAAATCATGACAATAATCATTTTTATTCCTATACTGATTCGGGTCAACCTAACTCGTGACCCAGACCTTGAGTAGTGACTCGATCTTTATCTTGAATTGATGATCAAGTTGGATTTTTAAACTATAATAATAATTATTTTATTCTGATATATCTTAGTTGAATAATTTTAATATTAAGATTTTTTTATAAAAATATATTAAGAATAAAAAACAAAAATTGTTATCTTTAAAAATGTTCTCTATGTGCCTTTTATTTTAAAAATAAATAAATTCACTTTAAAATTATTTAAAAAATATATTTATTTTTATAATTTTTGTATCTAAATTATTTTTATATTATTCATTACAAGACAATTAAAAAAGGAGCATGCATTAAGTTTCGATAAAAAGAATATCTGTTTTTTTTTTTCGTGGATTTAAATGATAAGTTGTGAATTTTAGACCCGCCCCAATAATTGTTAGGATAAGGGGCCCGAAAACTATGAGTACTCCGCACTCTCATAATTTCGTGGATCAAAAAGCTTCTTGGACTCTAGCCCAGAATTTCGTGGATAACTGATCTTTGCTTTCTTCACCCAAACATACCTCGCAAACCCAAGTCTCCCCTAATAACCTTGCAATGCGTGGCACCTGATGATGACCAGCTTGAAAGAACATCAAGAGCACCCAGTTATCGAGATACACTAGATCATTTCCTCCATCAAGCGCTCACCTGTTTCGAGTTTTGATCACCAGATCAATCCTCCACCGTGAGATCTTCGAAACCCCTTTTAACAATCATAGAAATTCAAATTCCCTCACAAAATTCAAAATTCAAAATTCAAATTCTCCCGACCGTTAGATCTCTTCTGTCCTTCCTTTTTATAATCTGTCATCCATCTCCTTCCCCTCGTTTCGCTTCCAGACACCATCTCTGTGTCCTTTTTCTCTCAAAACTAAAACCCCCTACTTTCTCTCCCTAGAAAAAACCAAGCCCTACCTCTCTGTTTGTTTAGCAAGAAGCCCTAAAATTTCCCTTTCTACAAAGATCTTCCTCAAGAAACCCTAAAAAGAAGAAAAAAATTCACACATATCTTCTCGTAAACACCCTAATTCGTCACTTTCTCTCTCTTCAATGGCGGCAGCGACCAAGAAAGTCCCATTCGCAACAAGCAACAGCGTAAACATGAACCAGGGGAAGACAATCGAAGAAACTTACCAGAAAAAGTCCCAATTGGAGCACATTCTTCTACGACCCGACACCTACATCGGGTCAATCGAGAAGCACGCACAGACCCTCTGGGTTTACGAGGGTGACAAAATAGTGCACCGATCGGTCACCTATGTGCCAGGTCTTTACAAAATCTTTGATGAAATCTTGGTGAATGCAGCGGATAATAAGCAAAGAGACCCGAAAATGGACTCTTTGAAGGTCGTGATTGACGGGGAGAATAATCTGGTTAGTGTTTATAACAATGGAGATGGGGTTCCGGTGGAGATACACAAGGAGGAAGGTGTTTATGTGCCGGAATTGATTTTTGGGCATTTGTTGACAAGTAGTAATTATGATGATGCTGAGAAGAAGACCACTGGCGGGAGAAACGGGTATGGTGCAAAGCTTACGAATATTTTTTCGACCGAGTTTGTGATTGAGACGGCGGATGGGAAGAGGCAAAAGAAGTATAAGCAGGTAATATTTTGTCGACCGAGTTTGTTATATTTTTTAATCGAATTATTTATTAAAAGATCGAATCTATTAAATATGAAGTGGGCATACAAGTTTAAGGTTTTATTAATTTGTGGGAAAGAAGGTAAAGGTTCTGTGAAAGGTTTTGATCAAATTGTTAGTTGATATTTTTTTTGGCTGAAACCTGTGATATGTGGACAGGGATATAAGTGTAATTTTCAAATTGTAGCATGTTTTAACATGAATTAAGGTAATTAAATCAGACAAACTTTCTTTTGCAAGGACAGATGGTTTTGTTTATGGTGGATGATTTGGCTATCTTTTACATGCTCTTATTAAGAATGTAATATGGGTTTGTGTTGTGATGTGAAAGGTTTTCTCTAACAACATGGGGAAAAAATCTGAGCCAATGATAACTAAGTGCAAGGAGGGTGAGAATTGGACCAAGGTGACATTTAAGCCTGATTTGGCTAAGTTTAGCATGACTCATCTGGAAGAAGATGTGGTAGCTTTGATGAAGAAAAGGGTGGTTGACATGGCTGGTTGCCTTGGAAAGACTGTGAAGGTTGAGCTCAACGGAAGTCGTGTGCCTGTCAAATCATTTCAAGATTATGTTTACATGTACTTGAATTCTGCCTCTGAACCTGGCTCAGAACGCCCTAAAAGGTTGTTTTTAATAATCTTTTGTCCAGCTGTCGAGTTTTTAAATGTTTCCACTCTTAAGATGCTCATTAGGTATTTTGGTGCTGGCCAGTTTCTACGAGAAAGTTGGTGAGAGGTGGGAGGTTTGTGTGAGCCTTACGGAAGGTCAATTCCAGCAGGTAATTGAGAACCTTTCTGAATGGATCGTAGTTTATTTCCAAGCTGTTTGCAATTGTATCACAGAAAAGTTCCTGATTCCAGAATAATTGGGTTTCATTAACAGGTCAGCTTCGTTAATAGCATTGCAACCATCAAGGGTGGGACTCATGTTGATTACGTCACTAATCAGATCACTAACTATGTGATGAATGCTGTTAATAAGAAGCACAAGAATTCCAACATCAAAGCCCATAACGTGAAGAACTATTTGTGGGTTTTTGTCAATTGCCTTATTGATAACCCTGCTTTTGATTCTCAAACAAAGGAAACTTTGACACTTCGCCAGAGCAGTTTTGGATCGAAATGTGAACTTTCTGAAGACTTTTTGAAGAAAGGTCGGTCACATGTGCTGCTTGGTTTTCTGTAAACTATAGCTTTTTTATTTCTAGAATGTTGGTTTTGAGTCTTGTATGCCGATCATTATCATATTTGCAGTGGCAAAGTCTGACATCGTCGACAACCTCCTCTCGTGGGCAAGATTCAAGGAAAACAAGGAGCTTAAGAAGACTGATGGAACGAAGACGGCTAAGGTTAATGTTCCAAAGCTCGAGGATGCTAACGAGGCTGGAGGGAGGTACTCTGAAAAATGTACATTGATATTGACTGAAGGAGATTCAGCAAAAGCTCTGGCAGTAAGTTCCATGACTAATAAAGCTTCCGGTAGCAACATCAATTCTATTTTCTTTAACAGCAATGAATGTATGCAGATAGCTGGTGTGGCTGGGCTGTCTCAGACGGAACGGAGTTTCTACGGGGTATTTCCTTTGAGAGGTAAATTGCTCAATGTGCGAGAAGCCACGCCTAAACAGCTCAAAGAGAATAAGGAAATTGAATGCATCAAGAAGATTCTTGGATTGCAGCATGATAAGCAGTACAGTAATGTCAAGTCTCTGAGATACGGTCATCTGATGATAATGACAGATCAGGTTAGTGCTTCCTTTAGATTTTTTGCCATAGAATCCGCCCATAATTCCTATAGGAGAGATTTGCTAACTTTTTGTGCTTTAAACAGGATCATGATGGTTCTCACATTAAAGGCCTGCTGATCAATTTCCTTCATTCATTCTGGCCATCATTACTGAAAGTCCCATCATTCTTGGTTGAGTTTATTACTCCTATTGTCAAGGTTGGTACATATAACTAACCGTTGTTTCAGAAAATTTGATATTTTTATTCAAGAACTTTGGTAATTTTCAGCCTAATTGTTTGTGCAGGCAACTCATAGAAACGGAACAGTTCTATCGTTTTATTCCATGCCGGAGTATGAATCCTGGAAAGGAAGTTTGGTGGGAAATGCGAGTGGCTGGTCCATCAAATACTATAAGGTTTGTTCATTTGACATGGAAGATCGGAATCTGGGTATACATGGTTATATTCATGTACTATCAATCAGCAGTAATTGTCATTGTTATTCCCATCATGGGTAATATAGTTGATGTCATCGTAGGGGTTGGGAACAAGTACATCCAAGGAAGGAAAAGCATACTTTCAAAGTCTTGACAAGCACAAGAAAGACTTTATATGGATGGATGAGCAAGATGGGGATGCGATAGAGCTTGCGTTTAGTAAAAAGAAGATCGAAGCAAGAAAGAATTGGCTTCGGCAGTACGAGGTTGGTTTTTCTGCATATTTGTTGTTAAATTTATTTTTCACCCCTTTCCCAGCCAGAAGAAAAAACTACCGTCTTCTAAGGGGATTTTAGTTTCGCTGAAATTTTGCAGCCTGGTACTCACCTTGATCAGAACCAGAAGCTCATAAAGTACAGCGATTTCATTAACAAGGAGCTTATATTGTTTTCTATGGCGGATCTTCAAAGATCTATTCCTTCAATGGTTGATGGCCTGAAGCCTGGTCAGAGGAAGATCCTTTTCTGTTCTTTTAAGAGGAATTTTGTCAAAGAAGCGAAAGTTTCCCAGTTCTCTGGTTATGTATCCGAGCATTCTGCTTATCATCATGGTGAGCAGAGTCTTGCCAGTACAATCATTGGAATGGCACAGGATTTTGTTGGCAGCAACAACATTAACCTTCTTCTGCCAAATGGTCAATTTGGCACCCGCAGTGTGGTAAGATAAATGATGTCTCACTTTTTGAAGTTAAATGAACATCAGTAAGGTGTGTTGTTATTATCCTAGAACACTAATCTGATTCTCATTTTCTATTTTCATCATTTCACAGGGAGGCAAAGACCATGCAAGTGCTAGGTACATTTATACTCAGCTCTCTCCTATTACGAGGTTCTTGTTCCCAAAGGATGATGATGGCCTTCTTGATTACTTGGATGAAGATGGGCAAACCATTGAACCTAATTGGTAAATGTTTTATTTCAATAACCAAAAAAATTATGAGTGCCTTCAAGGTTACATATAAAGAATGTTGCCTAATTTTATTTTCGTCCAGGTACATGCCAATTATTCCATTGGTCCTTGTGAATGGGTGTGAAGGAATCGGCACCGGCTGGAGCACTTTCATCCCTAACTATAACCCAAGGGATGTTGTTGCAAACATAAGGCGGTTATTGAATGGTGAAATGATGGAGCCTATGAATCCATGGTATAGAGGTTTTAAAGGAACTATTGAAAAAGGTGCATCAAAAGAAGCTGGTTGTAGCTACGCTGTTAATGGTGTCATCGATGAAGTCAATGAGACAACACTCAGGATAACTGAACTGCCCATCCGTCGGTGGACAGACGATTACAAGGCATTTTTGAATTCTGTTACAGAGGGGAATAGAGATGAAAATGGCAATTTACCAAAGGATCCCTTTATTAAGGTAATATTGATATTTAAAAGGTGTGCAGTTCAATGCTTCTATTTTCTCATGGACAATGTTCTGGTTGCAGGATTTCAGAAAGTATGGTGATGATGCGACAGTTGTTTTTGAAGTTCTGTTGTCGGAAGAGAACATGATGATTGCAAAGCAAGAGGGTTTGCTAAAGAAATTTAAATTAACCACCACAATTAGCACAAGTAATATGCACCTCTTTGATTCAGCAGG